TATAGGGTTATTTTCTTCTGAAACTTACGAATAAGAACCAACAACGGTGCCGTCAGCATGACGAGTCTCCTTCTTGGCACCGTTGGGCTCGGCGTACCCGTAGCTGTACTGCCCGAAGTTGTCCTGGCTGTGGTACTGACTGCGTGCCACGTGGGCAGTCTTGTGGACCACGGGTGCCACGAGGTGCTCGTGGTGCACGTACTGCTTGTGGAGACCAACAGGGAACACGCTGGCCATGCAGGCAGCGAAGCACAACGGCAACAAGATCTATTCGTGGATATACAGAAACTATACAGTATATCCTGGTTGGGTAAATACAATGCAGCAACAGAAGCCAAAATTTCAAGAAAGTCAGAAACGCCAACGACCTTGAATATAATTATTTGGGTGGTGTGAGCATTTTAATTTTAACCTCTGTGACCGTGACATGTAACTTGAGACGTGGGAAAATTTATTTGACGAATATCTGGCAGATGGTTCAGGGTTGTGTCAGGAATGTAAGTGTTCAAGAATTTGTATTCAATAGGAGGCTTCTTCATTTTCTTTCGAAAATTTTTTCGTAACATTATTATTCAGAATAATGCACCAAGCAAGCTCTTTTCCTCTATTTAAAAACCAGTGGGATATTTTTGTAAAAAAAAAGTGAATTATGCATGACGATAGCTTATAAATCAGGTGCGGAGAGTTTTCACACTAACACTCATCTACAGTCCATTTTTGCCTTCAAAATTAAATACACTAGCTAAAATCTCGCATTGTCATTCTTTACTCGTAAATTTTAGAGAATTATGCTTGAGATTTGAAATCACCTTAAGTAGCATTAATCTTTTTATTGACAGCCGAAACAGTTATTTTAGAAAGTAATGCTGCCGGACGAAACTTCCATTGCTTTCCAAATTTTGAGATTCTGGGATTTTTTCGAAATACTTACGCATAAATTGAAGGGAAAAGTATGGCTTTCTATATAGGACTGCTTCTTTTCAAAACTGCTGAGAAGATCGAGATCACGTCGCATTTGGACAGAATTATTCGACGTTTTCCATTTATTCGATTTCAACAAATTCCTGAGATTTATGATGGCTCAAAATTGCGCGATCCACGCTTTGCATTCATTTCAATAAATTGTACATTGAAACGTGGAAATTTTCAATGGTTTAGAATTTTCCAGATAACTTCGTCAGACACTTACCAGAGAGTTCATGATGATTTCGGTGATTTTTGTTTAATTGACGAGCGTGGCACACGAAAAAATGCAGCTGGCTTGCTTAGCTAACCGTGAAGTCTCAGGCAAACTACAGAAGCAACTGATGTCTGCTCCAGACCCTCCCAGTCTGTTTTATAAGACCCCAGCAGATCGACTCTCTCATAGCCTCGCCCAAAAAAAAAAAAAAACAGTTTCCGGTCCTCCAAACCCCTCATTCTCACAAGTCATTCTTGGATAACCTTACTTCGTTGTCCCGATTTCAATGGTTCTTGTGTTTCTCTCTCTCTCTCTCCTTCTTATTTTTCCTTCTTTTTGATTTCTTTATCATTTCGCGATGCCCCGCGGGTCATTTGTGCTTCCGGATTCTGCCCGCAGGAAAATTAAGGCGGACGGACGAAATTCCGTCTGAGTCCTCTGGCGGTTTTTCCCTTCCGAAGAAGGAGAATTCGTTCGAGTATAAACTGGTGGTTCGAGTTAATTTTCGGCTATTGGGGGGAGGGGGGATGAAAAATAAAATAAGAAAAAAAGTAAAAGGAAAAAAACGGTGACGTGAAGGTCAATGTTACGGGGTGATGGAGGACTGTTGAACTGTTTTGGGTGTGGCGGGTTGTAATGGCCCTCGGTTATTCGATTATATTCCGGGTCGTTAAGATTTCACCCGAGGTACTATTATTTATTGACCAGCCCGTCGTTTTCTTTTTTTTACATGCGAAAAGTGAGAACATTTTGAATAAAAAATCAGAGCTGCGTAAAAATAAATTATTTATTACACATACAAAAATAACCTGGAATTTTGCGTCGACTCACGAGAATTGAGCTCTTTTGAGTGGAAACAATTCGCTTCGGAATTCAGAGTTTCGATTACTTCAGATTGCAAATCACGGAGTAAATATTCTTTGTTTCTGAGTTCCTTTGATATTGCGTTCTTTTGGTGCAGCCGTTACATTTTTTCACGAGGGGGTTCATTACATTTTTCCTTTCAAATTCAGTTATCCAATAAAGGAAGTGGAATCTGATTATATGCAAAATTTTTCACTTCAGCCAACGTTTTATGCCATGCCGTTTATTTTCGAAAGTCAGGATTGCGGTGCACAAATTACAGCAAACTTTCAATTCATTCAAGTTTATTATACAGGCTTTTATTCTTTATTCTATGCTGGCATTGTGCCACATATATTCCAAATTTCTCATCGGGTGAATTTTCTAGGAAATCTTAGTAGTATAAATGATAATTTCATGCCTATAGAACTGGTAATAATGGAACTTATCCACATGGAATTATGAACTGAACAATAAAATTACCCACATGCCATTTATATTTGAGCTGGACGGTAATCGGATGATGAAATATTCTGGATAATCGATCGTTTGCTTAAAAAGCAGTAAAATGCATATTGAAAACGCAGAATTGAGGTAATTATCTTGCCTTATCCTTGTTTACGTGATGTGATTCGGCGCTGATCACAAGCATTTTGGATACTTTATTCGTAATCGAAATACATTAAAAAGGTTTGAGTACTTTTTAATGGGTGCTAAATCTGCAACGTGAAGCCGTATTTTTCAAAAACTCGGCATGTAACAATTCGCACCAGTACACTATGATAAGTATATAACGATTTATTCGTTATCCATGATTTCACGAGTGAATTTTATAACCTTCCAAGCCTAATTTTTGGTGAAAAACTTGTAAATTTTAAAGCCGTCCGCATTAGTGAAATTAACTCCAAAAAAAAATTCAAAGAAAAGTTCAGTCAATGACGAAGAGCCTTATTTGCAGAGTAGTTCTTTCTATGAGGCATTTTCTTTACGCATGTCATGAATCATGTTTTTTAGTGAGATGAGAACGAAAAATTGAAACGCTGACATTTTTCAAAGCCACATTTTATATAACAATTCATTAATTTTTTTTACAATATGTACATTCCATATATGTATAAACTGCACGGTTTCACTTTCTTGATTATATGATTAGTAAGTGGTGAAAAGTAAGTGATTGAAGCTTTAAAACAGCGTAGAACATGTTTGGGAGGAAAAAGGTGAATTGTATATTACATTCTACTGTTCGTTGTTTGAATTTGAAAAATAATCGCTTCTTCATCGCAGGTAATGTGACTGTGTTCGTTGTATGAGGAAACACTGTCGCATGAAAACGGGTGGGGATTTGAAATCTCGAAATCCATCATTGAATTCAACTCGTTATTCAAGTCGGCTTCTTTCGAGAGCAGTATATACTCGTAAAAAATGGGCCCAAAACTCCGAAAGACTCAATAGTAAAACAGAAACAAACAAAAAATGCGTGAATTGTTGAAAATTACGCGAATCTCGTCACATTGAATGCATTCTTCCCAAAAGTACGACTTTATTTTCGACGTATTTATACAACACTGTATTTCGTGTCTGTATATTCCAAATTGGAATTCATATCCACTTTTTCATCTTTATTCCTAGGAAAGTCTTGAATACAATTTTGGAGGCCTTTTCTTTCCCCGCTTCACATTTTCTTAAAAAAAAAGAAACTTCCACAGCTCGACCACGCCTAACATAAATTCTTCAAGCCAGAAACAGATTCCTAGTAAAAATAAATAAAAAAGATGACTGTACATTTTCCATATGAAGTTATTTTTCTTCGGTATCCGATGACGTTTTACTCCGCATCTGGATCTCATCGGGATTCGGGAATAACAGAGATATTTTCCGATCATCAAGGAGAGGAAAATGTTATTCTTTCTGAACTATGCTGATGGAAAATTCGTGACATTTTATCTTATACAAAACGAGTGTATCGAGGAAGATTAAGTAGCATTGCATTGGGAATGTCGCTCAGAACATCAACATTTCGATTCGATGGTATCTGACTGCTCATGTTAAATACATTTTGATGCATATGCTGTATTATTGTTCCATTCAAAAGTTTTTCCGTTTCTTCCATTTATTATGCAGTATCGTAGGTCTCTCCTTCGTGATATTGATAATCCGAATAAATACTCAGTGATTGCGTATTCACATTAGTCGTCATCAGACTCGCTCCCCGACTTTAAAATCATTGACGGTTTTATTTAAAAATAATAATTTAGAATAATATACAGAATCTTCAGATGAAATCCTCTCAAGGCACCGTAACAACTGCTCTTCATCCACGACCACGATATTCCTTTTAATAGGTTGTATTGAAATACGTACGCCAAGTTCTTCGTTTGGGGCCATGTTATTCAAGCATATAATGATTGTCAATTTTGATTTATGATCATATATTGCACAGTTTCGAAATTGATGGTCTCTTTTAGAATGTTTTATCGAATTTTTAGTAAGGAAAAAACTAATCACGAGCTGATGTCGTTAACAGATCGGTTTCTTTTTTATTCGATACTGATTATTCGATACAGAAAACGAACACTTTTGCACGTGCCGCAAAAATTTGATGTGTTGAAAATTTTCTTCAGAGACTTGAAATCAAACTTTCTAAAGAATAATTGAAGAAATAAATGCATGACGAACACCGAGAAATTTTGTCCTGAGAAAATCCATTGGAAATAACTTTGCATGACTATGTATATATATTATCAGCTTGGAATGAAAGGAGGCAAAAGTCTGAAAAAAGAAAAATGTGTATTCATTTTTTTTCGATCCAATAAAAACAGTTTCGCGACTTATTTGATTAATCGATGTATTCTGAATAAAATATCGATCTGTATTCGTGCGAATTTATAATTCGAATTAAAAAAGTTAATTAGTCTAGAGAAATATTCATCAAGTTCTTCTGTTTTCAATTAAAATTTTTGATACTGTAATCTATGATTGACGAATATTCGGTACCAACCAACAAAAAATAATGGAAATACAAATAAAATGAACTTGGAAACTTTTTGCCGTATCCGTTGTTTGAGGTTTGTGACGGAATACATAAAGAGCAGGAAATTCAACAATAGAAAAAAAAATAAATGGAATAGAAAAATAGAATAGAATAAATAGAATAGATAGAATAGAACAAAAACAAGTTTGTTCTATTGGTTGCTTGAAAGATGGAAATGTCTATATTTTGGATTGCATTGTTCGTGTAGAACCT